AAAAGAAAGCAGGCTGAACAAGCCGGTAAGCAGCTCCCCTCCATGGCCTCCGCGTCAGCTCCCGCCTCCAGGTTCCTGCCCTGCTTGAGTTCCCGTCCTGACTTCCTTTGATGATGACCAGTGATGTGGAATCATAAGCCAAATCAACCCTTCCTCCCCAAGTTGCTTTGGTCATGGTTTTTTCATGACAAAAATAGTAACCCTAACTAAGACAAGGGGTTTATTTGGACTCACCGTCTGTGGGTGAAGTCAGTCCGGCATGGCAGGGAAGGCATGGCACCAAGAGTGTGCCAGGGCGCTGCTGACACATTGTGCCCGCAGTCAGAACCAGAGAGAAATGAATGCTGGGCATTCTTCTTTATATCCAGCCTGGACCCCCAGCCCAAGCAACGATTCTGTCCACATTTGGAGGAGATCTGCCTCCTTCAGTCAAAGCCTTCTGGAAACACTCACGTAGACACACCCAGAGATGTGTTTCCATGGTGATCCCACCTCCTGAAACAAAGGCAGAGAGAGGATGCGTCCATAGAGGAGAGTAAAACCTGGAGGTGGCAGGATTGTGATACGTGCCATCTCCTACTGGCTGTTTGACCTCGACAATGCTACTGAACTTAGAGTGTCGCTGTTTCCTTATAGCACAGTGGGGACAATGGTATTGTCTGCTCCACAGGGCTGCAGTGAGACAGCCTGGCTCCCACTGAGCTCTCCACACATGTCAGTTGGCATATCCTTATTGCTTGCCCCGTCCCTCACCTGCCTCTTCCACTGGCCCAGATTCTAGCCTTGAATTGCTCTCTAGAGCCTCATTGCCAGGCCTCTGCCCTGCCTGTAGGTTGGGCTTAGGCTCCTTCAATTCCTTTCCAGGTTCAGTGGTTCCTGGAACCCAATGACACAATCCGAGTCCTATACAATAACCGGACTGTGGCCTTTGACACCAACCACACGGAGGAAGGTAGCTGTCAGCACCTGTCCCCACATACCCCATCCTTTGGTTCCAGCAGGATCTCAGACCCCTGGGAGCGGTGTGCTGGGGGTGCTGTAACACCCAGCAAAACAGAATGTTGGCTCTCCCCCGTCTCCGCCCCAGCTGTCCCTTAAACTGCTTCTCTAGAAGACCTTCACCCAGCCTGGTCACTGCATACCCCAGAAGGAAGTGTCCAGAGGCTGGGTGGGGTGGTGTGGGGTCTTCAGTTGAGGCACAGTCAGGAACCCCCGGTGCCTTCTGTGACACAGCCCTCACTGTTGCTGAGTCGTGGGCCCAAGGGTCGTGCTGGCTGTGGCGTGACTTGTCCCCTCTCTTCCAGACTTGCCAGTGTTCAATACTACTGGTGTCCTAATGACCCAGAATGGCTCCCAGGTCTCAGCCAGCTTTGATGGGACAGTGACCATCTCAGTGATTGCTCTTTCCAACATCCTCCACGCCTCCTCCAGTCTCCCAGAGGGGTACCGCCACCACACGAAGGGACTCCTGGGTAAGAAGCGGAGCTCAGGCCTACACAGACCGCTGTCTCACCTATGGGCCTTGGACTTCCCTGTCCGGTTCTTCCTCGGCCCCCTAGGGCTTCACCCACGGTTTAGGCTAATTTCCTGTTTGCCTGCCATCTTTTCAAGGGAATGTGAAGGAGGCGCCATGGGGAGCATGGGGGCCGGGCTGGCCTCCCCCTCCTTCCCTCCATAGCCACATTTCCTTTTTTTTTTTTTTAACCCTTATCTCCTTCCTTCCTCCCATCTTCCCCCACATCCTTCTTGGTTTTCGCCTCCCTCTTTAACGCACCAAGATGGAGTGTGAGTACGTGGTCCCCTCCCACCTCCTGGGGCTCTGGACCCAGCACAGATGCAACCGCCATGTCAGATGCTCCCTAGAGAAAGGACGCCACCTCCCTGTGGTGACGGACATTTTGCTCTCTCCCACAGGAGTCTGGAATGACAATCCAGAAGATGACTTCAGGATGCCCAATGGCTCCACCATCCCCTCAAAGAGCTCCGAGGAGACAATTTTTCACTATGGAATGACATGTGAGTCTGGGGGTGCTCAGGCCGCCGGGACAGTCAGTGAGGGAGCTGCTGTGTTGTCTCCCTGTGCTTGTGGGGACCTTATTCATCCTTGGTAAGGTCCGAAGATTTTGCCACGGGCCCGTGTCTGTCCCCGGCTTCCACCCCACCTGTATGTCTCTTCTGGGAAGTGGGGAAGGGACTGGGCAGCCTTTTCACCCTACTGACACAGGGACTTCCAGACTCAGAAGCCAGAAGCCTTCTCATCCCTACCAGCTCATCCCATGCCACCCCCTCACCCATTGAGCCACATCCGATGAGGATTAGGGGTGGGCACAGCTGAAATGAGGCTGTGGTCTCATACCATCATCGTCATACCACCTCTGTTGCAGGGCAAATCAACGGAACAGGCCTCCTTGGGATGAGGACAGACCCTCTGCCTTCCAACTTCACCCCCGTCTTCTTGTCCCAACTGCGGAACACCTCAGATGCAAACCTGACCTCTGGGTGCAGGGGAGACACACAGTGCGAGTTTGACGCTCTGGCCACAGGAAACGCAGGCATCGGACAAAGCACCAACACGATCTTGGAAACATTCCAGAATGTGAACGGCACCCTCAGTGAGTGACAGGAGACTCAGAGAGGCCTTTCCAGAGACAGGGGCAGGCGAGGACCCCATTTCATGACACTCCTTCAAGCTCCACATTTTTATTCCTTGGATGGATCAAAACCCTCCGGCAGCTCCCGGCTCACTCAGGCCCTTCCCTTCACTGCTCAATGCAGCCTGTGCCCTCTTGTTCATCACTTGTTCATTGCTATAGAGATTTGTGCTATACATACATCATGTACTCGAGAAATCTATTAGCAGAATGAATTAGTAAGCAATGGAATAGAAAGAATAGGCTTCCAAGAAACAGAGCATTAGCCAGGCGGTGGTGGCGCACGCCTTCAATTCCAGCACTTGGGAGGCAGAGCCAGGCGGATCTCTGTGAGTTCGAGGCCAGCCTGGGCTACCAAGTGAGATCCAGGACAGGCACCAAAACTGCACAGAGAAACCCTGTCTCGAAAAACAAACAAACAAACAAACAAAGGAAAGAAATGAAAAGAAACGGAGCATTGAGAGAGTTTGAAAAATGCAGTGTCTGTCTACAGATCACCCTCATGGGTAAAAGTGGCCGTCTGTTCTCAAGGCCCAGCGTGGCATTCTGTTCAGGGAAGAAATGATCCGGTTTGAGGAGGAGATTGGAAGAGGGAGTCTAAAGGTTAGACAGTGTGGACAGTGCATGCCCAACATGCTGGGCAGTTTGCAGAGCAGGAGGGAGACTGAGTCCTGCTCCCAGAGGTGGGCCCCAGGCTTGGGAAGGGCTCGTAGGCAGAGTCCTGGGGAGAGAGGGCAGAAAGGGGAGGCTGGAGAGTGCCCCATGCATAGCTGGTCCCTGCCATGCGTCTCTGTTTCAGATCAGTATCCGCCCTCTATCAACTGCAGCAGAGACATTCGAGCCTACAAGGGGCGGACAGAGACCGTTGACATCACCAGTGACTCTAAGGACGTCACATTCACCCTCACCGGCCAGTGCCCTGGCTTTAAACTCTTAGGTAAGAATCTTTGGCGGGCAGCAGCGTGCGCTGGGGCAGGAGAGGCCCGAGTCAGCTTGGGTTTTCTTGCATTTCTTCATTCTGCACCCTGACATTTTTTTTCCGTTTGGATACCCAGGACCGACAAACATTTTTCCTTCTTTCCTCTTCTCATCTTGTTTCTTTTCCTTTACCCCCACCGGTACCCCCCTCCTTCTGAGACCAGGTCTTACCATAAATAGCTCAAGCTGGCCTGAAACGTCTATGTAACCCAGCCAACAAACAAACTCCCGGATCTTCTGCCTCCGCCTCTGCACAGTGTGACGGCTGGTTTTCAATGTCACTTTGCCATAACCTGGATTACCTGAAAAGGGAGTCTCAATGGAGGAGATCAGGCTGACCTGCGGGCATGTTTTATTTGGGGGGGGGGGGCGCTGTCTTGATTGTCAATTATGGTGAGACAACCCACCTCGAATATGGGAGGCACTATTTCATGAGTTGAGCCTTGAACTGTGTAAGAATGAAGAAAACGAGCTGAGCAGAAGCCACCAAGCAAGCAGCAGGCAGCATGGGCATATTCATTTTTCTCTGCTCTTGACTGGAATCCACTGTTAGCTGGCTTCCCTCTGTGATGGACTTTAATCTGGAATTGTAAGCTAAACACAGTTCAGGGTGTTTTAGGGCGGCATCAGAAACGAAACTAGAACAAGGAAATATCACATCCAGCTTGAGAAACAGCATTTCTTTTTAAAAATTGTTTTTATTAATTTTAATTATGTTCCTGTGTTCGTAGGGGTGTGTGCACATGAGTTCAGGTGCTGGGACCTGCCAGAGGTGTTGGATCCTTCTGGAGCTGGAGTTATAGGCAGTGTGAGCCACCTGAAGTGGAGGCTAGGAATCGAACCCTGGTCCTCTTAACCACAGAGCCATCCCTCCAGGCCCTGAGAAACAGCGTTTCTTAAGATTGTTACTTATAGCTGGCCATAGCAGCTCAAGCCTGTAATTCTAATGGCTTGTAGGTTGAAGAAGGAGGATTGCCATGAGATCCAGAGCAGTCTGGGATACAGAGTGGTACCCAGTCTCAAGATTTAAAAAAAAAAAAAAAAAAAAAAAAAGATGCCTATAGTTCAAATCAGTTGCCCCTCCCCAAATGAGTAGCAGTAAGGGGTTTTGATAGATATAACTAAATAGGTAGACTGACTCTGGGCACACACAGGTAATGCAAATGTAATGTTACCTCTATCTAATAATATGCTTGCTTTTTTTTGTGAGACAGGCTTTTACTATCATCCTGGAACACACTGTGTAGAATACCTTAGCCTTGAACTTACAGATCTGCCTGCCTCTGTCCCTTGGGATTAAAGGCATGAACCACCATTGTGGAGCATTTGCCAATTCATTAGAATAATTAAGTATGACCATTAAAATATTAATTTAGCCAGGCAGTGGTGGTGCATACCTTTAATCCCAAAATTGGCAGGTGGATCTCCAAGTTTGAGGCAAGCCTGGTTTACAGAGTGAGTTCCAGGACAGCCAGGGCTATACATAGAAACCCTGTCTCCTTAATAATAATAATAATAATAATAATAATAATAATAGTTTACAGAGCTGGTGAGGAGGCTTAGCAGGTAAAAGCACTTGCCACCAAACTTGACAACCTAATTTCCATCCCTGGGACCCTGACACTTATGCTTGGTCTCCAACGTGACACATCCTGGTGCAGGCTCAGGCAGAGATGCGTTTAGAGGCCTCTTCATGGGGCTGGGAGGGGAGTAGCCTTCTCCTCTGTGGATTTCTAACTACACCCAGCACCCAGCACGTTCAGCAGGCACTGCCTCCCTCCAGCTTGGAGCAAGGCTACCATCACTGTAGGAATTCCAGCTCTGTGGGAATTTGATCTTTGCTCAAAAGGATGCCTGATGGCATTCTGGATTCGGGGAAAGGCCCGAGGGTGTGTGAGAAGCAGGGTGTTAGGTACCGGCATGCATTGACCACAGAGTAGACTCCCAGCCATTCAGGTCTCTTTTTCTCTGGACAGAAAATGGGAGTTTGCAGTGGACGCCACCAGCATCTCCAGAAGCATGTACCCTGGAGATTCTAGCCAGAGATGCCAGGACTAACCTGTCATCCGTACTCCAGCCCCAGACTACAATATGCTTCTGCAATACGGAGAGCCAGTGTTTGTACAATGAGACCAGCAGGGAAGGCAACTCTTCCCTTGAGGTGAGTAGTGGGAGCTGGGGAGGGCTCCTCTGTTGGGGGGCAGGGAGCCAATGGAGGGGTGCCGTGAATGTGCTCTTGCCTGGGCAAGGTGCGTGTGGGGAGGAGGGCAGAGCTGCGGTGGGTGAATAGCTCAGGGGCCATCTTGTGTGAAGTGGAACTTTGATCACTGCTTAGAGCAAAAAGAGTTTTTGTGTCCCCACCTCCCATTCGGTCAGGCTTAGAAAAGCGCACCTCACTTTCTCATAGTTCCCCACCACGGCACTGAGGTGTAGGATGGGAAGGCTTCCCTGTGTGTGTTCTGGATAGAGGTCTATAGCCTCCAGCATGCTGCCCCGCCTTCCTCCAGACTAGGGAGGACCGGAGTCTGCTGTGTTCAGACACAGGAAGCCCTCATCGGACGTTATGGAGAGTAGCTCACCATGAGACATCTCTTTGGGCTTGGGAAGTGAGGGGCCGGATGCTACCTTGCGACTCCCAGCTCCTCTGTCTGCTCTTCCCTCTAGAGCTAGAGGAAGCGCCTCTTTTTCAGTTTGGAGAAAACTCTCTCCATCCACATTTGTGGGCAAGCTTCGTGACCCACAGATCCTGCCCCATTTTTCTCTTGTCTTTTTGTTTGATTTTCTTTCCTCTCTGTTTCTTCCCCTGGCTTAACTCTATCAAAGATTCCAGGAAAGCAGGGACAGTGTGAGAGAGGAGAGGCTGAGAGCCTGCTGCAGGGCCTGGCAGGGGATGGTGTAGCTTTGGGCAGGGACTCACAGCCCTGGCCTGTTCAAAAAGGTACCTGCCTGCCGGAGGGACCGAGGCAAGCAGGACTTCCACATCACGGCAGATGTGTCAGGGCGGAGACACTAAAAGTTCTTCAGCTTGTGGTCACCCGCCACTCTGCTCTTATCCAGGTGGCCAGCTGCAAGTGTGATGGAGACACCTTTGGCCGCTTCTGTGAGCGCTCTAAGGACCTCTGTGAAGAGCCGTGTTTCCCAAATGTGCCCTGCACCCCAGGCAAGGGCTGTGAGGCCTGCCCTCCAAACATGACTGGAGATGGGCGGCATTGTGCAGGTGAGCTGGGAACCGGGCCCTAGCAAGAGGAGGGTGCCAGGTTCTGGGTCCAGGTGACATGTCCAGGGTCTGTGATAGACAAAGACAAACTGGTGTGTCTGTCTTTAGCAACACGTCTTCAAATCCCCCACAATAAGAAGCTGTGATGGGGAGGGGAGGGCTTAGAAATCGGGATGGTAGATGGTATGGGGCTGAAAACGCTGAGGGTGGGGCTGGAACAGAGCAGCCCTGAGATCCTGCTGGAGGAAACACGGGGAAAGACTGATGGAGAAGGCTAGGGAGGCAGAGGTAAGCTGGGCTCTCAGGCACCTGGGCATCTTCAGAGACACAAGGCTCAGGGGCTCCGCTTTCCCCAAGTCAGGACACTGGAAGTGTTGCCACGGGAACCCAGAGGGACCCGCGTTTTTCTTTGAGTTCTTTCCTCCCCATCTGCTCCTCTTCCTCGGAGCTGCAGTAGTCACCTACCGTGCCAGAGAGGACAGTGCCGCCTTCTCCAGCCAAACACAATCCGGAGACCGTGGTCTTCGGGGCTGAGGCCAGAGTGGGCGGGGCCAGGAGAGGGAGAAGCGGAAAGGAGACCGATCTTTCTCCCACCAGCTCTCTGGGTCCCTCTCTGACAAGGGCGCTCTGATCGGCATGCCGCGCCCTCTGCAGAGGTGAAGGAAGGCTTACCTGGCAGAGGGGGAAAGGTTGCAATATGGAGAAGGATGAGGAGAAGATGGTTTGGGGTTCAGAGTGTCCCACAAGCACAGCGCAGATTGGGCATGGTTGAAAAACAAAAAAAAAAACAAAAACAAAAACCAAGCTATCCTGGGAGTAGGGCTCCACTAGACGGCTCATTTCCCATCAGCTGTCGGGTCTGGTACGGCTGACTGACTTCCCTGCTCCCTTTACAGCTCTCGTGGACCCTTTAGCTTGCCAGAACCATTCCTGTCCCGCGAATCACTGCTATAACCATGGCCACTGCTACATCTCTGGGGCTCCAGACTGCCAGCCCGCTTGCACCTGCCCCCCAGCCTTCACGGATGCCCGCTGCCTCCTGGCTGGGAACAGTTTCACTCCCACCATCGCTAAAGGTATGACTACGTCCTCCTGCCGTACCAGCCCCACGCGTCTCTCCTGTCTGGCTGGGAATGATGGGAAAACCATCAGTGTCTGAGGCCCAAGGTCTCCAAACGCCCATACCAGAACTGAGCTTTCCTCCTGTGGGGTGACTTTGGGGCAGGGAAAGCTAACGAGAGCAGCTGTCCCAGTGTGAACCGTGGGCTCAGTCACGTGTCGAGGACGGAATGAAGCAGAACCCTCCTCGCTCCATCAGATGAGCGCCACAGAAGGCGTGGCCAACACAGGGGCAATGGAGTGCAGCCCCTTCAGGGACCTTGCCCTGGTGCATGGAGCCGTCTCTAAGCGGGCACAGGGGAAATGTTGGATAAGTCTGAAAAACCCGTGGGGGTGACGATGGGTCCTGTTTCTTCGTCTCCAGAGCTCCCCTTGAGGACCATTATGCTCTCACTCAGGGAAGATGAAAACGCCTCCCTCGCTGATGTCAACGCCTCGGTCAGTGCTGCTTGCTGGACTCCCCAGTGGGAATCAGATCTTGAAAGGTTCCCACAGGGGCGATGCTATAACCTGCACATCCTTCAACTACCTTAATTTCCCAAAAGAAGGGAGCCTCTTGCCCAGGGGTGGTTCAAGGGCCTAGGACATCCGGAAGCCTCAGGATTAGAGACCCTAGAATGGGTTAGAATTACCAGCTTGCCATGAGAAGACTCCGGGTGACATGTCACCCCAGCCTGTCCCTCTGGGTACCCCTCGTGAGTCACGCTTTCTGGCTGCTATATGGAAGAAGTCACCTCCACGCTGGCCTCCCAAAGGGAACTGGGACTCCCCTGATAGCATGTCCTTGTCGATACCTCCATTAAGCAAAGTAGCGGGATTGGTGAATGGTGGAAACTCTAGACTCCTTCCTGTACACAGGGGCTCAGATCTCTGCCCAGCCTCTTTCTAGAGCAGGTGTAATAACTAGACAAGCTCTTTATAGCAGCTTTGCGGATAATAGTAAGTAGTACCTGTCATTAGACCGTGTCAAGATTTAGATGACAAAGCATGTAAAACATGTAGTAACCAAAACACAGCAGGTATGCAACGGGATTATTACTGTTGGTACCCTGACTGCCGAAGATGCTCCACCTCAACCGGTCAGATCTCTTGACATCTGCCCGCTGCCCTTAACTGCAGGCTCTTTGAAATCAACGGTTCCCGAGTCACCTTGGCATCCCTGGTGCCCGGGCATGCCTAGGTCTTAGCTAAGCAATTTGTGTTTGGTACAAATGAGGGGAGAGGATGGGCTGGGATCAGAGACCAAGCAGAGGTGTCTGTTTCAGATGTTCCCCTGGCAATGCTGAGGCAGAGGAGGGGGAACGTGCCTCACCCCTCACCCTCCGAGTGTTTATTAAGCCAGCACCCAGGCCAGCCTCTGACTTAGGCATGAGGAGATGAGCTGCAGACGCTCTAGGGGTCCTGGGCCCTGCATTCGAAGGTGGGCGGGGCCAATCTGATCCTCATTCAGCCCGTCCCTCTCATTTGCCCCCATCGTAGGTGGCCTACAGACTAGGGGCTCTGGACATGCGGGCTTTCCTCTGGAACGACCCAGTGGAGCTGACGTGGATGTAAGTCAGGCTGTCCCTCCGTGACTCCCCTCTCCCTCTCCCCTGCTCCCCAGACCCTCACTGTTCCCCTCCCACGCAGCTCTCTCCCAGCACGGCCCTCGGACAAGTCAATTCAGCACTGGAGGGTCACGTCCCACTTCCAGTACCGCCCCAGGGGCCCGGTCATCCATTTTCTGAACGACCAGCTGATGGACGCTGTGGTGGAGGCCTTCCTCCTCCAGGCTCCGAGGGGGAGGCAGATGAGGAGCAGTGGAGAAGCCAGGAAGAACGTCAACTTCTTCCCCATCTCCAGGGCAGATGTCCACCACGTGAAGGCTTGTGAGTCACTCTGTCTTGGGGGACAATACAGAGACAGTCGGGGACGAGAAGAGAAGTAAATGGAGGGGCCATGCAGACCCGCAGGCCACATCAACCCCCCGTAGGAAGCATGTGGACCTGTTTGCAGGTCCGCAGTTGAAGAGGCTTAAGTCAGCTCTGTGGTTTGTGCATCTTGGAGTGAAATTTAAAACATTTCCCCCAACAGCCTTTTTTGATGCAGAGCAGGGACACAAGATGTTGCCGGTAGACCCTTGTGGGACACAGCAATTATTCCGACCCCAGGCTGCCTGATGGGTTCCACGCATCTGTTTGTTTGGTTTGGGGACAAGATTTAACTCCGTAGCTCAGGCTGGCCTCAAACTCACGATCCTCTTGCCCTAGCCTCACAAGTGCTGGGGTTTCCAGGCTAACGCCACCACTGATGAATGTCACTGCACCCAGCAGCCTTCCCCCTTCCTTTAGTAAGGTCACTCACTTCTGAAACTGTCATTGTGCCAAACACACACTGAACACCTGCCTGTCACCTTGCCCTCCTGCTGAGGCAGGAGACTGACGGGAGTAGAGGACCCCTTCTGAAAGGGTGTGGCTCCACTCAAGCCAGAACCCCATGGTCCCATTGGGGAAATGAGATGGGCGGGAGCATGGGAGACCAGGGACAGCCCTACTGAGCTTCGGGAAGGGAGCAGAGGCCGGGATAGGGACCACTGCCATTCTACTTGGGTCCGGCACCTGATGAGAGATGCTTCTAGAATCCGATTTAGGATTCCTGCTTCTTGGGGCAACTAAGTGCAATTCCTCCAGACTGCCGCACACTGGGAAGTGGTGGGAGACAGGCGGCAGTGAGGGAGCTGTGGCCCACCTCGGCCCGGAGTGCCCGGTGTGTGCCAAGTGCCTCTCAGCACTTGGAAGGCAAGGGGATCAAGAGGGCAGTGAGAGCTTTGGCTGTGTAGCAAGTTGGAGGCCAACCTGGGCTACATGAGCTCCTGTCTTAAAGAGCGAGAGAAAGGAAGGAAGGAGAAAGGAGGGAAGGAAAAAACACAATTTTATTGTGCAAACACAATATGTTTATTGTAGAAAGTTTAGGGAACACGAGTTACAAATGTAAGAAAGAAAAGACAAAGCTACTTTGCATTCTCATTTTCTTCTGTTGTGCTTTAGAGAATTTCACACACACACACACATATATATGTGTGTGTGTGTGAAATATATATATATTTTTTTACTAAGGGATCAAATCATACCTAAGTATCCTCCACATAATAATAATGACTTCATTAGCTCAATTGTTATGTACCTATTCGACATTATTTTTACAGTGATCTTTTTGAAACTGGCATTTGCAACAAATTTTAAATGTTGTGGGAATAGCTACTTTTTAATCGAGTGTTTTTTCTGTGTATCCAGCCACCCTGTCTCACATACTCCACATGCAGTGACTCACTGAACATCACTGCTGGGCAAGTGCTGCTTTTATGCTTTGTTTTTAAGAATAAGGAAACTGACCGGGCGTGGTGACGCACACGCCTTTAATCCCAGCACCAGGGAGAGTCAGAGGCAAGCGGATCTCTGTGAGTTCAAGGCCAGCCTGGTCTACAGAGTGAGTTCTAGGACAGCCAGGACTACACAGAGAAACCCTGTCTCGGAAACACACACACACACAGAGAGAGAGAGAGAGAGAGAGAGAGAG